CCTGGGAGAGCAGGGGAGACTGGAGGCCAGGAGAGGACAAGCAACCTGAGGAGAGGGCTCTGCAGCCAGAGAGGGGCCTGAGGACTGCGGGACCGAGAGCTGGCGGCAGCACTTCAGTGCTTGTAGCTCTTCCTGCTGGAGGAGGAGCTGGTGGTGTACTTGATGGTGGAACTGCCGCCTCCAACGGAGCTGAGGCCACCCCCAATGACTCTGCCGCTGCTGGAACTGAAGCCGCCTCCAACGCCAAGACCACTGCCATAGGAGTAGCTGCTGCCTCCGCCCAGGCCTAAGCCACCCCCGACACCGCTGGCGCCGCCATAGCCGCTGGAGACGGTGGACTGTGTCACGGCTGTGGAGGGGAGGGGACAAGGACACAGGAAGCCACAGTGAGCTCATCCTGCCAGCCTGAGCCCAGTGAGAGGAGTGCAAGGGCAGGGGAGGAGGGCAAGCAGAGGTACTTACAGATGTTGACCTGTCCAACGCCTTCGCCATTCAGCCTGCGGGGAGGAACACAAGGAGGGTGAGACCTCAGAGAGCCCTTTCCTGGACCAGCGCGGGAAGCCTCAGTGGGCAGAAGAGTCCATGGGAAACTGCTCTTTTAGTTTTCTCCCAAGAAGAGCGATTACGGCCATGGGCAGCGCGCCCTAAAGTTGTGCTCAGTGCCAGGCACCTTGAAGATGGACTCAGCTGTTGGAGGAGGTCATGTCAGTTACCCACCTGCACTCCTCGCCCTCCAGCAGCTTGCGGTAGGTGGCGATCTCCACGTCCAGGGCCAGCTTGACGTTCATCAGCTCCTGGTATTCCTTCAGCAGCCGGGCCATGTCCTGCTTGGCCTTCTGCAGGGCGTCCTCCAGCCCCTCCAGCTTGTTCTTGGCATCCTTGAGTGCCATCTCCCCACGCTGCTCAGCATCAGCAATGGCAGCCTGCAGGTTGGCGCACTAGGAGGGGAAAGGAATAGAAAGAACTTGTCATCTGGTCTTCCAGAGGAGACTAACCCTGGCAGGTTCTTTTCTGGTGAAGAAGGGGCCAGGAACTCAGAATTGATGGTGAATGAGCTCTGACTCTTCTTGTCTATTGTCTTTTCATTTTGCAGGTTTTGTCCAGTCTGGTCCATTTGACAAAAACTCAAAACCGTTTTTGTGAATCACTGTGCTGGAGAATGTGGATATTTACTAATAGGAGACACTGTGGTGGACACAGACACTGTGGTGGACACAGACACTGTGGTGGACACAGACACTGCAAGATATGGACCTGCTAGTTTGTTTGGATTGTGGTTGCCATAGTCAAACCGAGGCCGCTTATGATTACCTTGTATGGATGCCACACTAACATACACATAATTAAGTCCATCCTGAAGCAAGGCGATGAGTTGCCACATGAGACTGCTGAGACCTTGCCTTCCTCCCCTCAGAAACTCTCATCTACTTGGACAGCAGTTTTCTTTGTCCTCTGTCCTTCCTCTACTCTCTCTTTCACCTTGAGTCTTGAGCAGATTTGAAACAATCTTCCTTCTGCTTTCTTGTCTGCCCTTTTCCTTTTCAATTTGTTCCTTTGCAGTTCTCAGGTCAGTCTTCCTATGGAAACACATCCAATTCTTCTAGACCAAGCTTGTTCAACCTGCAGCCCACGGGCCGCATGCAGCCAAGGATGGCTTTAAATGCAGCTCAACTTAAGAATTTAAGTTAAATTCTTAAACTTTCTTAATACATTACGAGAGGGTTTTGTTTTGTTTTGCTTTCTTAGCTCATCGGCTATCGTTTGTGTTAGCGTATTTTATGTGTGGCTCAAGACACTTCTTGTTCTGCTGTGGCCAAGGAAAGCCACGAGCCTGGACACCCCTGCTCTAGGCCATGTTTCTGCAGCTCTGAGCCTCACGATTTGTTCTCTCACATGTTTGTGTCATGCCCTAGGTAGGATCCATGTCTTCTAGCCAGGGGGTACTGACTAGGGGTAGGAACTGCATAGCCTCCTCTCCCTGGTTTTGGTGAGTTCCAGGGGATTTTCACAAATATAATCGTGGATAACTGCCTGATAACCTGAAAAGAAAATGTTTTTCTCCTCCATTGCCCCTCACCGTACCTGCTTCTTGACGTGGTCGATCTCGGATCTCAGCCTCTGGATCATGCGGTTGATCTCAGAAATCTCCTGCTTGGTGTTGCGCAGGTCGTCCCCGTGCCTGCCCGCTGTCACCTGCAGCTCCTCGTACTGCAGTGCAGAGGTGGAGAGAGAGACAGTGTCTACATGCTCTTACAGGGAGTGATGACTTTCACTTCTGTATGAAGCATGTGTTAAACTTGAACCTAATGGCTTCTCCTCAAGAAACTTGAGGAAAAGGTGATGTTAGGTGGTTGCTGGATACCAAACCCTGGAGTTACAGACCCTTCTCATTATGGCACCACTGCCTGCCCAGTTTCCTTAGGGAGGGAGTAGAAATGTTCTGTACCATTTTCTAAAAGTCAGCAATCAGGACAAGCTAAAGGCAGAGAGGACTAGGCCCTTGTCTATGGCAGCTTTCCCCCTGCATTGGGTTCTTTTTCCTCCTTGACTTGGGTGTAAGCTCCATAAGTATCTACTCTAATAGTGCAGGGCGCACATCCTGTGAGAGAACCCCAGATTCCTGTCAGGGGATGTCCCCCGTGAAGTCTGCAGTCCTCTGGCATTCAGGGTGGGACACAGGGATTCCTCAGCGGCTGCCCACTCCCTGCTCACCTTGGTCTGGTACCAGGACTCAGCCTCAGCCCGGCTCCTCTGAGCGATCTCCTCGTATTGGGCCTTGACCTCGGCGATGATGCTGTCCAGGTCCAGGTTGCGATTGTTGTCCATGGACAGCACCACGGACGTGTCTGAGACGTGGGTCTGCATCTGGGACAGCTCCTGCGGAACAGAAGGCCAGAAGATCAAATTCACTTCTGACACTCACAGAGATACCCAGGCCGAGACATCTTCTCCCCTTTGCAGACCCCATCAGAGGAAATAGAAGGACGGTGGAGATGCTTACTGCCTCATACAAGGCTCTCAGGAAGTTGATCTCGTCTGTGAGGGTGTCTGCCTTGGCTTGCAGTTCAACCTTGTTCATGTAGGCAGCATCCACGTCCTGGGGAAAGAGCCAACAACCTGGAGTTACCTGAGCGCACCTTTCCAATCTACCCATCTTCTAGTTCCCCTACCAATTCTCCTTTCCCAGGTGAGCAGGGACATGGAGCCACTTCTCCCCTTCTAAACCTGTTTGAACCCTGGGCTTTGCCTGCTCACCTTCTTCAGAGTCACAAAGTCATTCTCTGCTGCTGTGCGCTTGTTGATTTCATCTTCATATCTAAAAAAAAAAAAAGGGTAATACATAATTAAGCTAGTAGGGAAGATGGGACAGGAAGTCAGCTTGAGGGTCAATTGTTTTCATAAATGGATTATATCCAAATTGAGCTTTGATACCACAAAAAGCTGAAAAGATAATTTTTATTTTTTCTAACCTATCTTCCCCTTTTTTTCTTTTGGTGTCTTTTTCTTTTTTGTTTTTGTTTATTTGTTTGTTTTTGTCAATGTATTTTAGGTAGAGACAGGAGTTTTATCATTTTGCCCAGCCTGGTCTCAGACTCCTGAGCTCAAGCGTTCTGCCTGCCTTGGCCTCCCAGTGGGTCGGGCTTGGAGGCATGAGTCCCTGTTCCAGACCTCTTTTGGATTATTTCATAGGCAATAATTCCTGCTTTTTGTTTCCATGGACATGGGTTGCTGAGAATCCTGCCCACATCTGGTCCTGGTCATCCAATAGTCTTGAAGTGTGTGCTGCATGAAGCTGAGTCCGTTTCTGCTGTTTAACTCACTTGTTCTTGAAGTCCTCCACCAGGTCCTGCATGCCTCTGAGCTCCGAGTCCAGGCGGCCGCGTTCCCCGACGATGCTGTCCAGCTGCCTCCTGAGGTTGTTGATGTACTGTTCGAACAACGGCTCCAGGCTCTGCCTCACGGACTTGGGGCCCTGCTCCTGCAGCAGGGTCCACTTGGTTTCCAGAACCTTGTTCTGCTGCTCCAGGAACCGCACCTGGAGGGGAGGCAAGCTGGTCATTTTCCAGGCAAAGGAAGGAAGAAAGAAGTGTCTGGTACCAGGTTTCCTGGCAGGTCTGGGAGGTCCCCATGGTGCTGGGCTACTACAGTGCCATGTAGGGGGGCTCAGGCTGAGCTCTGCTCCCCCAACCCCTTTTCCTTTGCACCCCACCAATCTCACTAGAGAAATTGTCCCATGGACCATTGAGGTCTTCATGCCTTAAGCTATTGACCACATCAGTGAGTTTCAACATTTATTCTTTTTCTTTTTCCAAGCACCATCACAAATCTAGTTTAAAAATACTATTTACCTGATATATTGCACACAGTTTTTATCACTGATAGGACCTCAGTTAGGAGGGATATTAGATGTTATGATTAGATTCCAGTTTAATTTTCCATTTAGCGGGGTGTCTCCTCTCAAATCCCCTGCTGTTATGGTCATTCTCTGTTTTTAAAATTATTTAGCATTTCTCCATGTTTTATAGTTGTTTCTATGTCCTTTTTTCTTAATCCAGCCAGATTATTTTTTCCTTTTCTTTCTAAAGTGTTTTTCCTCTTACTCAGACCCCAGAGTGTAATTTACCAGCCCGTATACTCCGGGCATTTTCTCTGTAATCTCTTAGACACTTCAGAGGGAAGACTTAACCTACTCCACTCTCTGAGGGCCTCATCTGTGCTTCAGGGTCATGAAAAGTTAGAGCTCTGGCTAGGCAGGAGTGAGGACCACCCCGGAGATCCCATGGGGGAGTGATGCCTATCCCTGCTGCCTGCTGTGCTTCAGGAGCCACCTGCACCCTCTACAGAGCTGGGCTGAGTCCACTTCTTTCCTCTAGTCTGGGGACCCTGAGGTGTCCCATGAGAGACATGTCCCATGAGAGAGATGTCCCCCTGAGAGCATGGCCCTGGCTCACCTTGTCGATGAAGGAGGCGAACTTGTTGTTGAGGGTCTTGATCTGTTCGCGCTCCTCAGTCCGCACCCGCTGGATGGTGGGGTCGATTTGTAGGTTGAGAGGTGTCAGGAGACTCTGGTTGACGGTGACCTCTTGGATGCCTCCAGGGGGGCACACGGGGAAGCCGGGGCCCCCAAAGCCACCAGCAAGGCCGGCCCCACCACCCAGACCAAAGCCAATGCCAGCTCCACCACCAAAACCAAATCCACTCCCGGCACCACCGAAGCCATAGCTGCCTCCAGCTCTGCTGCCATAGCCGCCACTGATGGCACAGCTGCCCCCTCCAATGGAGATCCTCTTGGAGCCCCCAAGGCTATAGAGACTGCGGCTGCCAAAGCCAGCTCCTCCACACGCGCCACCCAGGCCACCACTGCCCCTGGAGCGGGACACGGAGACGCTGCTGAAGCCAGAGCGGCTGACCCCAGGGAGCCTGGCTGAGCCGGCACTGAAGCCCCGGCGGCTGCTGCTGTGGCTCCTGATGGTGGTGGATGTGC